TGCTGTGGATTCTCTACCTATCATGGACTCTTGTGTCATGTTTTGAGTTTCACAGGTGCTCGAAAATGTGCTTCAAAATAACGTCTCCCGTGCGAATTGGGCGAAAGTGTGTAAGGGGAGACGGGAATTCGTTCCCAATTTCCACCTACTACCTCCAGCCCCCTTACATGTCTTTCCCCCGCACGACGCTCGAGACATCCGCTCCTGGCATGGCCGGTAAGAGCCGGTTGGGACCCTTGAAAAAAGAAAAAAAAAGAGGAAAAAATAACAGAAAACAAGCAAAACAGAAAGAAAAGGGGTTCCAACCATCTTCAAGAAGAAAATAGAGCACCTTGAAAAATGTGAGTCCATGATCCTTTGTTTTTTAGAATCTCTCCATCCACGATTCATTTGTCCTCTGTTTACTATTTGCCATGATGCCGACTCGAGACTAGTGCTCTCGCCGAAGAAGCTATGAGATGACTTGTGCGTCGGTTGACCTCGTAAGCTGCTAAATGATCTAGGAAGTCCTCTACCTACGATCTGGGTTGTTTGTTGCTATAGAGGTCTGGAGAGTTGCATTGGTTTGAGTTAGGTTTGCTTGGAGACAAGCAAACGGTTAAGTGTGGGGGAGTTTGATAACGATGTAATTGCACATATTTGCGCCCCTAGTTCTTATCCGTTTGAGGGGCATAGTCGTGTGTTTTTGGCCTATTTTGTGCCGGGTTATGCTATTTTGTCATATTTCAAGTCCCAGGTGTAAAAGGGAAGGCTAAGCACGAGTTTCGGGGCATTCGGAAGTCATTTCGGTGAAACTGAGCCAAAACACGGGCACACCTAAACCAGAACACGACCGTGTTCTGAGACCGTGCTTTTACTGCCGAGAGCTAATTAGAGTTTGGCAAACATTGGCCAAAACACGGGCAGGGCTGAGATAGAACACGGGCGTGCTTCACCAAAGCACGGCCGTGTCCTCCCAAAAGCACGGCCGTGTTTCTCCTAGTGTAATTAACACTAGCCAAAGCGCGGGCGGGCTGAGGCATTACACGGCCGTGCCCTCGACCGTGCTTTGGCCACTGATGCCTTTTTAAGCAGATTTTCAGCCAAAGAGAAGGGGATTCGAGTTTTAGAGAGAGAGATAAGTTCCTAGAGAGAGAAAGCGACGAACAAGAGTCTCCAAGTGCCCTAGATTGATCTTCAACACCATTGGAGGCCAGTTTGAGCTTGGAGAAGTGCCGATCAACGTCCATGAGCAGGAATCCATCCTTCACAGTATGAATTCAGCGTTTGATTTTGCTTTTGCTTCTTTCTCCATGGAGTAGTTCTCCCATTCATCTGGGTATGGAGAACCCTAGATTTGTATGTTAGGCTTTGATTGTATGAACCCAAGTACTGATTCTATGATTTGTTTATATTCGATTGAGGTTTGAATGATTGAATGACTTGAATCCTGATCAAATTCCTGTTGTTTCTGCTTTAACCTAGAACGAGAATATCTGCCTAGGTTGATAGAGCATCCTTGATTGAAGGTAGGGAGTTGGTGACTTTAGTCGAGGAGCCAACTCACTATTCTGTACCGGATTTACTCCGGTAGTGGAGGTTTTGTTTGTTAAGGCCTCAATCTGTTTACTCCGGTGGAGGTTAGTCGCCCCCTAGAGACTCAGATTGAGAGGGTCTGAAGACCTTTAGTCGAGACTTCAGGCTGTTTAAGAACCTTCCGCAGTATAACTATCATAGAAACTGAACTTGGTAATTACAATCCGGCTTAACTGCAGTCTAGGGGGAACCATATCCGGGTGACCTCTCTTAACCTGAATACAACTGTTTACTTGCTTTGCTAGTTTGTTAGTTTAGACTTGCATTAAAGTTTCATTGCTAGATAACGAGAATTCACTGAGTAGTCATCAAATCTAGGACCCGGGTTGATAATCAAACCTAAACCCGCTATACTACGCTTTAGGAAGTGGTTTCACTTGGCCAATTCCTAGGGTGACAGTAGAAGTGAGTCATTAATGGATTCACTGCATTGTAGTGGAATCCAATTTCAGTGGGGGAGTTCTGTGTTAACTGCCTGAACGTTCTATCCCGGTGAAGACTAGTCGTCTGCCGGGTAGTCTGTCTTTGAGGGCTTGGTCAGTTTAAGAGATTCCAAGCTAATTTTGGATCTTTCGCAGTTTAATCAACAGTAAATCAACCAAAGGAAATTACAACTTTGACCTAACTAAGGAGCTAGGGGGATTCATTCCCGAGTGACTCTTCCCTTTCTTAAGAACTTCGACAATTTCCTGCTTTCTTACTGATTTTGTTTGCAATCACTCTCACTACACTTAGTCTCGCTAGATAACAGGTAGTCACAGAGTGGGCAGTAGATCTAGACCCCGGGTTGATAAATTGAACTTGCCACTATTCTGCATTTCCATTCTGCGATTACTCTTGGTCGCAGTTTGGTGTTGTGTCGTAGCGTGTCAGTTATCTAATTAACTGATAACCGAATATATGATTACAGTTAACTAATTTATATAAAAGATGTAGTTAATAGTAAAGCACAAGTTATTGGCTAACTGATAAACGATTAAATTATTACGATTATAACCAAAACGAACTGATTGATAATGCTATTAATTTTTATGAAAATAATCAACCTAGACTTTGAAGTTCTGCTATCATATGGACGAGTTAAAGTTCAGTAACCAAAATATGCACTTTTTGTGAAATCTACGGCCCATTTTGGTGATGATGATAAAGTAACTACGAAGGAAAGCTCCGAGCTTGGAGCAAAGAAAATTTTGGTGATCTGAGATATCGAAAACTGAAGGAAGAAAAAGCTTTAGATAAGCTGGATAGAGAGAGAACCAATGGAGCAGTGGTTATACAATAAAAATCCATAGAAAAGGAATTAAACGTGATACTGAGGCATGAAGAGTTCATGTGGAAGCAGAGATCGAGAGCTGATTGGCTGAAGGGTGGAGATAAGAACACTAGTTTCTTTCATCGTAAAGCCCCTAATAGGAGAAACAGGAACACTATAAAAAAGCTGGTGGAGGCAGATGGGGAGGTGAAAGAAGGACAATAGGCGGTGGGAGAATGCCTAACTAACCATTTTAAACTGCTTTTCTGTGCAGGTACTGCGACTCCATCAAACAGGATCCTAAAGGCTATCCCTAGACGAGTCACTCAGGAGATGAATGAGGACCTCCTACAACCTTTTACGGAGAATGAAATTTGGGGAGCCCTAAAGAAAATGGGTACCTAACAAAGCCCCAGGTGTGGATGATATTGCAACCTTTTTCCAGAAAAACTGGACATTGTAGGAAGGGAAGTGACGGCTGAGCTGCAGAAGTATCTCACAGAAGATTCTTTTCCTCAAGCTCTAAACCATACTCTAGTTGCTCTGATCTCTAAGAAAAAAGAAGTGGAATCTCCAGTGGACTTTAGACCCATAAGACTGTGTAGAGTTCTCTACAAAATCCTCTCAAAATTCCTAGCAAACAGGCACAAGAGAGTATGAAATGAGGTCATTTTAGAATTCCAAAGCTCCTATGTTCCTGGCAGACTAATCACAGATAATGTTATGGTGGCTTCCGAGTGTTTTCACTCGATGAAAGGAAGAACAAGAGGGAAAAAAGGCTTCATGTCAGCTAAACTCGATATTTCAAAGCGTATGATAGGGTGGAATGCAATTTTCTGGAGGCAGTGATGAAGAAGTTGGGTTTTCATGACAAATGGGCGGCAATGATTATGCACTGTGTCTCTACTGTCTCCTATTCCATCATAGTTAATGGTCATCAACCTGAAATATTTTTCCCCTCTAGAGGACTCAGACAGGGTGACCCCATTTCACCCTACCTGTTTCTTTATGTTGCGGAAGGACTCTCAGCACTCTTATCTAAAGAGGATAGATACAAGAATATTGAAGGCATTACAATTAAGGGTGGAGCTCCAGTTATAAACCATTTGTTATTCGTGGATGATAGTATTATTTCCAAAGGCCACCAAAGAAGAATGCGAACAGATTAGAGTCATCTTAAACCTCTACGAACAAGACACATGACAACAGATTAACCTAGTCAAATCTGAGATCTCGTTCTCACCAAATGTAAAAGAGGACAAGAGGCAGGAGCTTGGAGCAATTATGGAAATGAGAATCGTGGACTATCATTCTAAGTATCTTGGACTACCAACTGTGGTGGGCAGACAAAATAAAGTTGTCTTCAGCTATTTGGTTGATCGAGTAAGGAAGAAAGTCAAACTATGGAAGAGCAGATTGCTATCCTTTGGAGGGAACGAAGTTCCCATTAAAGCCATTGCTCAAGCTCAAATGAATTATGCTATACAGGTGTTTCTGGTTCCTATAACTATTATCCATGAAATTCATAGTTTGATATCTAATTTTTGGTGGGGGCAGCAGAATGAGAAAACCAAAAGAAAAGGGAGGACTAGGGCTCATAAGTTTACTTGAATTCAACCTAGCTCTACTTGGGAAACGGCTATGGAATCTGATTCAAAAGCCCAACTCTCTAATGGCCAGAGTGTTCAAAGAAAAATATTTTCCCAACTGTGATGTTCTTGAAACAAATGTGGGTTACAATCCCAGTTATGCTTGGAGAAGTGTTTTAGCCTCAAAAGAGATTTTGAAGGAAGGGCTACGATGGAGGATAGGAAACGGCCACAAAATTGATATATGCTAGGATAGGTGGATCCCCTCAACTTCTTCCTACAAGGTGGAGTCCCCTATATCACCTTTTGCCCCTACTACTTCGGTCTGCGAGCTTATGAATCTAGAGCACAGAACCTGGAACTACTTTATACTACAAAATTATTTCAATTATACTGATTGCCAACATATTCTGAATATCCCCATTCCCAGACAACCTAATGAGGACACGAGAATCTGGTGCCATGAGAAATCAGGTATTTATACCGTTCGATCAGCCTACCACTTCTGGATGGAGAGAAACGAACAAGGAGAGGAGTAGATCTACATCCCTATAAACTGGAGTCGGATATGGAAACTGCCTATACCTCCTAAAGTAAGGGTCTTTGTATGGAGATGGATTAAGAATATCCTCCCTACAAGAGTGAATGTTTTGGACAAAATCAAAAAAGGTTGTGAAGAGTGTCCTTTTTATGGATTACGGGAAACCCAGTTGCATCTGTTCCAGGAGTGTGGGTGGGTTCGAAAGGTTTGGAGATCAATCACACTAAACTCTCTATCCAAAAAGGGACAGGAGCTTACTTGTGAACAGTGGATGGCGGAGATCCAAGAAACAACTGCAGGGGATCAAATTCGTCATGTCCTCACGGCCAACTGGTTAATCTAGGAGGAGAGAAACAACCAGATCTGGAATAAGCACAAATTGGAAGAATCAGAGATCATGGGGAAGGCTGAGAGATGTCTTACAGAGTACGTGCAACATCAACAAGTGCAGATCGGCAATCAAGGAAAGTGGGACAATCATTGGGAGCCTCCTCGATCGGCTGATTTCAAGGTGAATGTCGACACAGCTTGTTTTGAAGGTCATGGATCTGGTTTTGGAATAGTGATTAGAGACAAGAAGAAAAATTTATGCTTCATTTCAGTTCGAAGAAGCCAAACCCAGTGGTCTCCAGAAATGGCAGAATGTTTAGCAATCGGATGGGGTTGGATTTGGCAGTGGAGAATGGTTTTGGTAGGTGTGAAGTGGAGACGGACTGCCTGGGAATTATTCATCTGCTGTATCGAGAGGAAATGGCGATAACTGAGTTGGGGGTGGCTTGTGATAGGGCAATAGCGTATTGCTTCAATTCCTATCTCGTAGTAAAACCGGAAAGTCCGGGTATCGTCTCTCAGGGACTGGTACAACCTTATATTCTATCAAATTTATGAGCAAACTATAGGTGAAAATGGTTTAATGATACTATTAACTACTAGGAAAATAATTAAACTAATTAAGCAAATTAAATGGTCGGGAGAAATTCAATGGAGAAAGCTCTAGGAGAAACACCGGGATTCACTACCTATCCTATCCAGATTAATTCACATGTTCCAATCAATTTAATCCATAACTCTACAGCCAGGATATCACTACGCTTGCTAGCTATCCCTGTCGGGCATTACTACGTACTAAACAATTAATTCAAATCCTACTGTCGTAGCTCAATGACTTAATTATTTAGCCTGAAGATCGATATCCTATTTTAGACCGCATAGCACCTTATTTATCCACTGTCGCGTCGATAAGTTACTATGTCACATGAAATAGGTTCAGTTATTAGGGTTTCACTGTCGCTAATAACCTAATTAACTACGATTTATTGTATTGGTGGCTAGTTAACACAAAGCATTAAGTAATTTCATGCAATAGAGATTGGAAGAAAAGAATCATGAATCAATCCATCAAATCAAGAAATAGTTACATCCTATGGTGTTTCCCCCAGAAATCGGGGTTTAGTTCATGACGAAAATAAAACAAACAATCATGTTCTAAATCAACAATAAAAAACTAATTCGGTTTAGAAAATCCAACCAAAATAATCGCTCTCGTTAAACTCAACTCAAGCCTGGGGAGAAGTCGATTGTCGATTGGCCTTGCTCGCGCTCCAAGCTTGCTGCGCTGCTCTTCTCTTTTTCTCGCCCAAGACTAATTCGCCTTTCTGTTCTCCCCAAGAATTTCGCCCAAACCAACAAAAGTTGCCTTCCAAATCGTGTCCCAGCTCCCGCAGAGATGTTTTTGTTCCCAAATAATAGCCTCTGCTTCCATGTCCCCCGCTGCGCTCCCTCTCAAAAGAAGTCCCGTCCAAAATAAAATAGTCTCCTCCAACAATTTCCCTTCTTCCTTTTGTTTTGTTTTTTTCCAAAAGAAAGTCCACCCTGTAGAGATTCCTCTCAAGCCAATTAATTCCCTTCCTCCAGCAATAGAAGATCACACGTCCAACATTAGTCTTTAGCTCTCCCGTCCAATTTTTGTCCAAGTAATTCCGGCCTAAGAATTAATTCCCTCCTAACTTCCGTCACTAGTCCAACGAGAGTAGGTCAAGAATCTGGTCCAAAGTGGTTCGATCATAGACTTGATCTGTGTTCGACTTGCCTGCTTGTACTTTCACAATTTCTATCTTTCCACCTAAAATATATCAAAATTCTAACACATGATGGTAATGGTCTTACAACCATTACAGAGTTAGTTGGCCATAAAACAAGCATTATATGTCTCAAATATATTATGAAATAATCACATTAAGCACATGAAATCAATATGTTTTCAACAATTATCACAACCCCACACTCAATATTTGCTTGTCCCTAAGCAACGACTCAAACAAGAGAACGATAATTGGAGAAACACAAAACATACCACAGAGTCACTAATCAAACACTCAAGCAAAACAAAATTTTCCTTGTACTCTTGTTGTAATCAGTAGTTTCTTTCTCAAAGGACAAGTTGTGCTTTAATGATCATACCTTTCACCCCACACTCAAGGTCTTTGCAACCATTACCATTACCTGACTCAAATCCATCAAAAACTCCAATAGCAACACTCAATTTCGATCATCGGTAGTGGGTGGTTAACAACTTATGGTGCAACAATCATTAGGAGAATCTAACCACATCAGTGAGGTGCATATCTCGTGAGGACAGTCCGGCTTACTCACACCAATCATAAGCAATTAATTATGCATGAGTCTCAAAAACTAATGGGGGAAGCCTTTCGCAAACATGATTTTGCTTATCTCAAATGGCACTTCACTCAACTGGGGATCGTACTTGATAAGCAACATCGTACGGTCGCGAACCGATTCTCAATTGAATCTTTCCTAATCCCCATGTGCAATGAGTGATTGCCTCACACGATTTTGGTATTTTACCCACACTTTAATTGTTATGGCAACTTCCTTATATTTTACTTGTCAGGTAGTGTTTTCTTTTATAAAGATACAGTTCACCCCAGCATAAAACCATCAAAACAGAGAGACTCGATGCAAAGTCAAAAGCTCACAACAAACTTCAAGTCAGCACGGTATCCAAACATGTCGAATGGTCAGTATTCTCCACCTAACTACTTCACCAAAAGTCATTACACTATCCTCACAAAAGAGAATGTTGCTAAAAGAGTTTGCTCATTCAAAGCATATCAAGTCAGTCAAAACATTCAAGCTCATTGTGAAGAACTATGCAATTCAACACTAGTGGGGTGATTTCGATGATTACATTCAAGCACAAGAGAACTATGCAATTTCACACGCATCACAGTCATTTACATCATGTTACCACAAGAGTACAAGGTTTTGTTTTTAATTTTTCTGATTTTTAGGTGTTTTTTTAGCCATTAGTTTTGCACAGGCAGCCTGCTTTTTACACAGGCAAACTGCATGCAGTTTGGCTGTGCTCAACCTAATGGCAATTTTTTTTTTGATTTTTTTTTTACCTACCACATGACAAAAGGAACAAACAAACTTTTTTGGATTTTTTTTTTACCGACCACATGACAAAAGGAACAAACAAACACTAAGACTCGCCACCCCACACTCAGGATGGAACATTGTCCCTAATGTTCAACTCCTAATCTAAACATGCACGGGTTTGACACAACTAAAAAGAAAAATAAAGAAAAGAAAACTTACCTTGGGTTGCCTCCCAAGAAGCCCTTGTTTAACGTCCTCAGCCTGACGTTCATGGAGCTTTCAACCAATGGGTATGGAAAGGTATCCAGCACACCCTCCCGAGCAATGATAGAATGCATAACCTCCATCCAACATATGAGTCACCTCGGCAGGGCCTGGTGTGCGAAAATTTGGTATGACCTTCTTAGCTGGCATGTTGGATCCTTTAGTGAGGCGTAGGTGGTATTGCAGTGCCTCAAGCAAGTACTCTTCCTCTTTCAATGTCAGTGAAGAAGGAATAATAACAGGAAGATTGAAATCCTTACCCAAATATATATACTTGAGGTGATCTGGCAATGATTTCTGTCCTTGCTTTGATTTCAGAATCTGAGCAGATAGGATATGTGATCGTTCTTCAGGTGGTCCACTATCACAAGAGAGGGGATTTTTCCTTTCTCAAGCTCCACTTTCAAAGTCATCAAATGCATCGTGATTATGATCAACTTGAAAGACATTAAAAATTTCCTCCTCCTTACCTACTCGGAATGTCAACTTGCCTCTACCAACATCGATGAGTGCATCACTAGTGGCTAGAAAAGGTCTCCCAAGAATGAGAGGCACTCCCCGATCTTCTTCCATCTCCAGAATCACCAAATCTGTAGGGAGAATAAACTTCCCCACCTTCACCAATACATTCTCCACCACTCCTTTTGGAATTTTCACTGATCGATCGGCCAATTGGAGAGTGATCCGAGTAGGCTTAAGAACATCTCCCAATCCCAATTTCTTGTAGACTGAGTATGGCATCAAATTAATTCCTGCTCCAAGATCACAAAATGATTTATCGAACTCTGTACCTCCAATGACACATGGAATGGTGAAACTGCCCGGATCATCCCTCTTTTCTGGTAATTTATTCTGAATCACAGCACTACATTCACAAGTAAGGGTTACCTTCTCTAGATCAGCCCATTTGCGCTTCTTAGTCAGCAACTCCTTTAAAAATTTAGCATATGTAGGCATCTGTTCAAGTGCCTCCGCCAAGGGTATGTTAATCTGAAGTTGCTTGAAGAGATTCACAAATTTCTTGAAGTTTGGGTCTTCCATGGGCTTCATTAACCTTTGAGGGAATGGTGCGGGAGGTTCATAAGGCTTTACCTCTTCATTCTTGAATTTTTTTCACCTTTGGAGTTGCACGGGCAGAATGCTCATGCACAGGCAGATTGCATGCAGTTTGCCTGTGCAAGTCAGATTTTTCAGCTTTTGCACTTTCTTCATCCTCTACCTCTACAACTCCTTCTTTTTCAGATTTTGTTGACTTTCTTGAACTCTCTGGATCCTTCAAGGCCTTTCCACTCCTCAATGTGACAGCTACGACCATGGCGTCCTTCGGATTCCTCTCGGTATTTGCTTGTAAAGTTCCCGGAATCCTACCTTGAATATCTGCCAAAGTTTGAGCCATCTGGCCTATTTGCCTCTCCATAGCTAGCATAGATGATTGCATATTGTTGTTGATGGCTAGCTGTTGAGTGACAAATTGATCAAGACCCTTGAAATTCTTGTCTGTTTTCTGCATATGAGCCAAAATCAACTCTTCCAGTTGGGGCTTTTCTCTGGTTGAGGTTGCTGCTGTTGAAAACCAGGAGGTGGGATGTTTTGAACACCAGCTGGATTATTGTTTGACCATGACATATTGGGGTGATGTCTCCATTGAGGGTTGTATGTATTTGAATACATACCACCCTGGCCTTGACTTCGCGGATTATTGATATAGTGCACATCTTCCAACTGATCAGCTACCAGTGGACATAGATCCCTATGATGAGCACCTTCACATAATTCGCAAGAAGCAACCTCCTCTTGTCTACCAAGAGCCATCTTAGCCAGCCTTCGTTCGAGTGCATCGAACTTAGAATCCAGCTTAGCATCTATCTTGGCTTGTAGACTCGCAACTCTGTTTATCTCATGCAAGCCTCCTCTTATTCGAATACTGGTCTGACTACCCCATTCAGTGGCTTCTGAACAGATCTTCTCTACTAGATCATATGCTGCTGGTGCCTCCATGCTTGTGAAACCATTTCTAGAAGCATTATTCAGGGCATCCCGGAACTCCCTTCTGGTTCCATTGAAGAAAATAATGATCACGTTCCAATCTTCAAGACCATGGCTAGGGCATCTCATCAATAGCCCCTTATAGCGCTCCCATGCCTCAGTCAGACTCTCATCATCAGCCTGCTTAAAAGTAACAATCTCTTCTTGCCTCTTCATTGCCAAGGCAGGTGGGAAGTATTTATCCAGAAAGACCTTCTCAAGCTGAGCCCATGTCGTGATGGAACGTGGTGTTAAGTTCTGAAACCAGTGTGATGCATTCCCTATCAGAGAGAATGAGAACATCCAAAGACGAATTGCATCATCAGACACAGTTGAGCTCTTCATCATATCACATATGCTCGCGAACCGGCGGAGATGTTCATGAGGATCCTGTTTTGCCATGATGACAAGCTCGATAATGCGAGGTGGTGGTGTCGGTGGTGTAGGGATGACGGGTAATGAAGCCTGTTCTCTCTGTCGACGACTATGGGTTAGGGAAGGCCTAGGAGTTGTGGTTGGCTGCTTCCCTAACTTGACCTGCTTCCTATTCTGTCGGCAGGTTTCTCGATCTCCGGATCTAGTAGCAGTAAATCGCCGGTCGTCCTCCTAGGCATGCACGAGGAGGATAAACCTGAAAATTCTTCTGCACACTAACACCCAGATCAAAATAGTTCACTCACAAAAATCAATAAAAATAAGGTATGGCATTCCCCGGCAACGGCGCCAAAAACTTGATAGGGCAAAAGCGTATTGCTTCAATTCCTATATCGTAGTAAAACCGAAAAGTCCAGGTATCGTCTCTCAGGGACTGGTACAATCTTATATTCTATCAAATTTATGAGCAAACTATAGGCGAAAAAGGTTTAATGAGACTATTAACTACTAGCAAAATAATTAAACTAATTAAGCAAAGTAAAATGGTCTGGAGAAATTCAATGGAGAAAGCTCTGGGAGAAACACCGGGATTTACTACCTATCCTATCCAGATTAATTCACATGTTCAAATCAATTTAATCCATAACTCCACAGCCAGGATATCACTACGGTGCTAGCTATCCCTGTCGGGCATTACTACGCACTAAACAATTAATTCAAATCCTATTGTCGTAACTCAATGACTTAATTATTTAGCCTGAAGATCGATATCCTATTTTAGACCGCATAGCACCTTATTTAATCCACTGTCGCTTCGATAAGTTACTATGTCACATGAAATAGGTTCAGTTATTAGGGTTTCACTGTCGCTAATAACCTAATTAACTACAATTCATTGTATTGGTGGCCAGTTAACACAAAGCATTAAGTAATTTCATGCAATAGAGATTGGAAGAAAAGAATCATGAATCAATCCATCAAATCAAGAAATAGCTACATCCTATGGTGTTTCCCCCAGAAATCAGGGTTTATTTCATGACGAAAATAAAACAAACAATCATGTTCTAAATCAACAATAAACAACTAATTCGGTTTAGAAAATCCAACCAAAATAATCGCTCTAGTTAAACTCAACTCAAGCCTGGGGAGAAGTCGATTGTCGATTGGCCTTGCTCGCGCTCCAAGCTTGCTGCTCTTCTATTTTTCTCGCCCAAGACTAATTCGCCTTTCTGTTCTCCCCAAGAATTTCGCCCAAACCAACAAAAGTTGCCTTCCAAATCGTGTCCCAGCTCCCCCAGAGATGTTTTTGTTCCCAAATAATAGCCTCTGCTTCCGTGTCCCCAGCTGTGCTCCCTCTCAAAAGAAGTCATGTCCAAAATAAAATAGTCTCCTCCAGCAATTTCCCTTCTTCCTTTTGTTTTGTTTTTTTCCAAAAGAAAGTCTGCCCTGTAGAGATTCCTCTCAAGCCAATTAATTCCCTTCCTCCAGCAATAGAAGATCACAAGTCCAACATTAGTCCCTGGCTCTCCCGTCCAATTTTTGTCCAAGTAATTCCGGCCCAAGAATTAATTCCCTCCTAACTTCCGTCCCCAGTCCAACGAGATTAGGTCAAGAATCTGGTCCAAAGTGGTTCGATCATAGACTTGATCTGTGTTCGACTTGCCTGCTTGTACTTTCACAATTTCTATCTTTCCACCTAAAATATATCAAAATTCTAACACATGATGGTAATGGTCTTACAACCATTCCAGAGTTAGTTGGCCTTAAAACAAGCATTATATGTCTCAAACATATTATGAAATAATCACATTAAGCACATGAAATCAATATGTTTTCGACAATTATCAGCTTGCGAAGAACTCAGGGACCGAATAAAGGAGGTGGGCTCGGTTCGGATTAACTTTTTGAGTCGGTCAAGTAACCAGGCCGCTCATTTGATGGCCCATACTTATTGTGGTTGGGGTGACACTGAGTGTTGGGCTTTGAAACCCCCAATTTTTCTAGTTTCTCATCTTATAGTTGACTCTTGTACTATTTCTACCAGTTAATGAAATGATACATGCTTTTGAATAAATAAAAAAGTAACTAATGGGCATACTTTTGTATGGCAAAAAAAATTGGTCATGCCTTTGAAATGGAGGTTCTTACGAGTACAATACTTTTTTTTGCCATAGTTATTCGTGAAGGGAAGTAGTATAAATATGAAAAGATACAAGGTTTAGTAAAGTCAAGAATATGAAATATAAATAAGAAAAATATGATGGCTGACAAGCGTCTGAACCATCGATCCAAGTGTTGGTTTTGCCATGACATGGGCAACCCTATTATGCCTACGAGAAGTGAAATGGGACGTAGCGGGAATGAAAGAATCCCACAACACCTAATCTCTTGTTGGATAGCTCCACCCAATGCATGCTACAATCCGTCGTGTTGATCGTCCGGATAATCACCTGCACATCCCCAGAAAACAAAACAGTAATAAAAAAGAGTGAGCTAGACACTAATAGTAAAGAATCACAAAGAGCAGCTCTCTGAGAGAAATGGATCAAAGATATCAAAGTGTACAGTTCAATTTGAAAAAATTATAACGCATTTCGGCCAGATAGAGGTTGATAATATGGTGATTCTAGAGAATTTGGGACTGTAGCCGAACTCGCGTAAGCCAAAATGCCACAGTCAAATGGCGCCATATGTAAGAAGAGAAAACAAACCTTGATGGATATGGTTCATAATATGAAATCATATGTTATATTATTTTATATTCAATAGAAACCATATGCACAATATGGAGTGAATAGCAGTCGAACTTGTTTTTGGTGAACATTTGGGGTTGGTAAGCACATTATCTCGACTAAACTGGAAAACATACCATACAAGCATATATTTGCAGGATACCTAAGGAAACCAGAGGGAACGGTCCCACATGAACAAAAGTGTTGTCCTAGAACAAAATTTTCCTAATGTGACAAGGAAATTCTTGCTAAAGAAACAGTAGTATGGGAGTAATGTTGATATTGGAGAAATACAATAGTGAATATACAACAGTAAAATCATATCTGGTAGGATCCATCATAGGACCCAACGAATTGCAGCCTACTATTCACTAAGGCAGGAGAGGTGCTCCTCCTGGAAGTGTTCCAAACGAAATCCATAAAGCTGAACAAATTATGGACTTTGGCTTATCATATTGGGGTATCCCTAGGGTGGATAGCTATTACATAATCTGATTTAGGCTCTTAATTTTCAATGGGGCCGAATCTGATAGTCGAGAATAAATTATGTTTTATATTTTTCTATTTTTTAATCGACTTTTATCTTATACGTCATAACTTGAATTTCAAAAAAAAAAATTGTACAAATGGAACACGTTTTTTGTAATATACAAAATTATATATTTTCAATATATTTTGAAAAAAAAAATTCATATCACTCATACATCTCATTGTCACCTTGGTACCACCTTTATTTTTAACTCGAATATTGAAAATTTCGCCTGCAAGAACCGGAAGTTATCAGCCTTAGACCTTGCCACCAACATCGGGAGTCCCAAGTACTTATCATGGACTCTGACAGAACAATCGCCAAACAGAGACCCATCGCCTCCTGCACATCAAGGTCGATGTTCTTACTAAATCAAACGGCAGATTTGGCCATTTAACCTTTTGTCCGCTCAAGTATGATTAAAACTACGTAAGATTTGCCCATTCTGGAAGAAAGAGCGAACAGCTGAAACTACTAACTCCCACACGATACCTCAAAATGTCTTGAAAAATTTTCCCGTAAACTCATCTGAACTAGGGGCCTACGTCGCTCCCATACGAAAGAAAGTTTTCTGAACCGCATTCGATGTAACCTCCGCGACTAGGCAACCATTCATGTGCTTCGTAAACTTGGCTTCCAACGGAAGAGAAGCAACCCATTGGCGGATCCCTTTGACATCCGCCTCAGTCGTAAACAAGGGCCCGTAAAATGTTGATGCCATTTCCGCTTTGTCGGATTCCTCCATAGCCCAGGTACCATCCTCTTGTTGAAGCCTCTCGACCAAATTCTGTTTTCGTCTGCTACGGGTCACAGTGTGAAAATACAACGAATTTTTAATGCCTGTCTTTACCCAATGCACCCTCGACTTCTGTTTCCAAAAGATTTACTCTGCCGCCCATTGCAGAGTGAGGTCCCTCTCCAATTGATTAATACGATCCCAATCCATCGGGGACTCTCCTTCAAAGCCCCAATCTCTGATTGCATAATACGAATCTGTATCTCTGAGTTGGTAGTCCCAGCCTTACTCCATTGGAAGAGGAGATGCCTCAATTTTTTGAGTCTCGCCCGCAATTGGTACATAGCCGATCACTGGATCGTTTCATTCCACGCACTTTCGACCATCGGACGGACCTCCACATTATCCACACATCGAGCATCAAATCAAAACAACCTCTTAGATTTCTATTCGAAGGGTTTTTCAACCATGATCAAGGCTCTATGATTCGACCCAAGGTTGGTACCATGGACCACCAGCGATTCCGAGAAGCACTGCAGCCAGCTGTCATAGACTAAGGCTCTGTCCACGCGTTCTTGAAACAAGTCGCCCCAATTCGCATATTCGTCCAAGTAAACGGATTCCGAGAGAAACCCAAATCCTGAAATCCCAATAACTACAAATTCGCTGAACGAATGAGATTGCGCAGGAATCCAAGGCCTCCCACCCACCTTTTCATCGGAGGCTAAAATATCGTTATAATCACCCACCACCATATAAGGTAATAAAATATCAGCACAATACAGCCGCAAAGCGTCAAATTGCACACTTCTATGCCCTCTCGACAACTAATATAAACAAAGACCACACAATATTTTTATTGCAACACAGACCAAAATGAAAACAATTTCAAGATTATACGCACGAACTACTCCTACGATATACTAAAACGTTAGGGACAGTCAAATCCCTCTCACGTTCCAGGCTAAAAGCCTCATTTGGCGGATTGGGGCTGATCGAGGTCGGCCTCCTCCACCTTCGTATAATCATTCACCATCTCCTCAATCGGATCTTCCAGACAAAGCTTCTTAACAGGTGTAGGGTCCTTCGTCAAGTCATCGACCATATCCCCATCTCTCTTGAGATCACCCATCTCTTCATCACTAGGAGCCGCCATTTTGAAAGCAATCTGCTTTCCTTGATCATGTTCTGCTGGTACAACCTCCACCGTCTCGTCCGCCAACTTCTCACCTTCCTCTTCAGCATCCACCATCACCATCTCGTCCGTAACACCAGAAACTCCCACCACCACTTTCATTGACCGCCCTCTATTTTTTTCCCTTATTCCCTCTGATACGAGGCTCTACCTCCATTGCCTACTCCTCCCCCAGCCAACTTCGCCCTTTCCTTCCCGTATTCCCCACACTCTGAGTCATCCCCCCCCCCCCCCTTGTTTGCCAGGAAGCTTTCCCACCTCTTCACCCATCACCTTTAGAATCACTTTCTTACCTTTTAAACTGCCCGAAACAGTAAACTTCCCATCATTCGGCCCAACCACTGAACCTCCCTTCATCGGAGGGGCACCTTGGGATGCCTCCTTTGCCCAAACTAGCCCCTCATGTTTGCCTAGTACACCAGCTGAACCTACACCCTTTCCAGCTTTAGTCCCCTTGCTCTTTTCTGCATCTCGAACTACCCAGACCCCTCTTTCTGCTTCCCACTATCCTCCTTCCCGCCAGTCTTCTTCACTCATTTGTCCGTCTTATTATCCTCTGTGGCCTTCTGCTTGTTGACTCGCCAAGATACACCGCGATTTAGAGCCCAAGTATAAACTCTAGCCGGGTGCAGTATAGGGTAAGTATGTTTTAATTGTCAAACCTGGGTCGGTCCATGTACCCCTACTTCAATCGCTTAGGTTGTTATCTAGCAAATGATTTTGGGTTTGAAACTAAGAAAACTACAAAATGCACAAACAAGGAAAGTAAATCGAGGAGAATTCTATACGAGAGGACTTCACTTGGGTAATGCTTCCCCTAGTCTCGTACTAAGAAACAATGAACGAAACCCTAGTTTGGAGGACGTGTTCATATACCGTGAGATGGGTGCAACTAGCTAGGAACAAGCTCTCTTAGTTAGTCAATCAAGGATTGCCACAATAAGCTAGGAAACCTAGCTCTCTTGATTGAACATACCTAGGAAACCCTAACTCTGTTAGTTGACCAATCTAGGATTATTGCATCAAGTTAGTGGTCTAACTCTCTTAACCTTTTGGTTAAGGATTGCAACTCTAGGCTAGATGATCTAGCCCCTCTAAATCGGTCGACTAAGGATTGCAAACCAATTCCTCGGAACTTAATCTAGACGGAGAAGAGAAACGAATCATGGTGGGATCATAGTACTACTCCGATACTTAAGGTTTTGCCCTAGATTAACGTAGAAGGAGTTACCCAAGAGGCTAGGAGGTTAAGTTCCCTCTGGGCCAAAAGGTGATCTCCACCCTCTAGGTTAATTTTGATCCAACAATGATATAATGCAAGCAACACTCAATAATCATGGTTAATTTAAGGTTTGTTCTAATTTGCCTAGGTGGGTGACACTAATTGGCCAAGAATCCAACTTCTCAAAGCCTCTTTCAACAAGGAGATTCTCTCCACCTAGGTCAAAATGACTCAATCAAGAGTTAAAGCTAGCACATTCAATCATTCATGAAAAATACCTCAAATATTATATAAACATTCAATCAACACAATAGAATCAAGTTCTTACATCCTAACACACATCTAGACAAGGATTCACGTACAATACCCAAGTGAGTAAGGAGGCTTCCATAGCTAGGCAAGGAAAAACAAGAAGAAAAAAAAAAGAGAAAGAACCATGAAGAGATGACAATCTTCCTTCTTTGTTGCTCGAATCTCCCTTGAGAGGTAAGAATCTTCACTTCTCTAGCTTAGGACAAACCAAATCTCCTTCTTCCTCATTTGAATGGCACTTTCTCTCTCTAGAAGAGGAACCCTAATATCTCACTAGAAACCCTCCTTTATTCTGAAAATTAAAACCCTAGAAAAAGATCTCATTTCTCTCTCCCAGCAGCCTTTTATTTATAAGTCATGGTCGTGACATTGGACCAAAATGCAGGTCTCTGGTGTCGTTTTGGTTCCACATCACGGCATGGGGATGATTTTCACGGTCTGTTCTGAGGTCCAGTGAGGTGCAAAAACCTCCTGTTTCCATCACACTTCACGCCCAATGATCAATTGTCACGGTCTAGTGACCGTGACATTTGACCTCTACCCTTGACCTTGAATTGTCACGCCCTCTAATCAGTTGTCGCAGTCTGGTGACCCTAACATTTGACCTCTGCCCGTGACCTTGGACTATCCTTCACTTTACTTCACTTTTTGGCGCTTTATCGACTCCAATCGTACCGAAACTCCTCCTATACCTTTCCACACATGCTAGGACCTGAAATGTATTAAAAATAGCACTACCTAGCGTAAAATAGGTCGAGAGACGAAGAAATGCATAGTCAAACTATCAAGAAACAGTACAATTAGACCCGAATCACTTGTGAGTTTTCTTTTCCGTCATCATCTTTTTGTGCTTGCCCGCCACAGGTAGTGCCAAAACCACTACTGCGTGAGCTTGCCTCGATCCCTCACCACGAGCCTCAGTTTCAGAGAACTCGTCCACTTTTCTTTTGCCCAACGTAGTCGGGTTCACCCAAACGAACTTCGGGAGCGGGGCACCATAAATAGAGGCCAACATGTTTTCATTGAGCCTGTATCCAGAATCCTTTGTTGTCAGTTCAGGACCAAAGTACTCCTCCCCACTTGGATCGGGGTATACACAATTCTAGGTTGTATGCCTGAATCGTCCACAGTGGTAGCAGTACAATGGCAAGTGCTCGTAAATTAGAGGAAACTAGAACTGACCCACACTCGGGTTGCTGGCGAACAGCTGGGATCAAAGCTGGTTCAGGACATTGATCTTTGGCCGCACCTTGACGAAGTGCCCCAGGACTCCCCGCAAAGCAAACAGCCCTGCATCACAGATTTCCCCAAGTTTGGCTTCGGCCATCCTCTTCCCAAAAGCGATTGTGCGGCAGTATACCCCACATCTGCAACCAAAATGGAGCCCTGCTCAGCGATTCCACCACTGTAGGGGTGATCAATTCCCAGTTTTGAAGGTGTCCGATGAAGGACCCAGTGCAGGAGTCCCAGTTTCGCCTCCATCATCGTCACCTTCGACGAGCACTGCCACTCCCCTTGCACAATCTTTTAGATAGTCTTCAGGCTAGGAGGATTGCCCATAAACAATCACCCCACCACCACATCGGACAGCTCAAACTCCACCACCATGACCTTGTTTTCGCAAGCCTGGACTGGTAGAGCTCTGATCGCCGTCGATTTTCGGACTCCCTCGTCTAGCTCCAACGATTCACACTTGACACGAATATGGTCGTCGTAAAGATTTTTTAACAAGAAACCCCCACAACGAATCTGGCCACATCTTTCATTTTTGACGAGATCAGATAATTCCATGAAACGATTTTCCGATCGATCGTCAGATTCGATCCCCAATTTCCATATCCAATCCAGAATCTCTCGATCGACCATCTCTCCCTCGTTATTATTTTCTAAATCACAACGAATCCATTAAAATACAATGCAATTAAAAGTAGGGAAAACAAAAAATTATTTTAGCTTCAGCCCTTAGATCTGGCGAAACTCAACCAAAACACAAATGGATAACGGAGCGTTATGCAAGCTTTCCCCACATCATTTCCATCATAGGCCAAATCATATACCAGATAGACAAGCGTAAAGTAGGACTACTATAGACTTGGAACACAATTGGAGTTCTTATTCATTGTGGTACCAAACTGCTCTCCATTGATAAATAAGGAAAGGACAGCACACACTGCATTTTATGGGGGGGAAAAGTACTAGAAAGTCTTATTTCAGAAGGGGTGAGAGAAGGATAACTTAAGAGCTCCAACTCACTCGCTGAGCCAGTGTTTCTGCAGCAGTAGTATCTCTTTCATAGAGCCGCAAATAGTACAAAAGACAACTATATATAAAAATAAAGTGAGGAAAACGAGTAGTAGGGATAGCTGCCTTGGCCTTCATCTTCAAGCTTGTTTTAACCAGTGTTCTGCAGGCCAGCAGCAATACCCTTCATGGTCAAAATGAGGGTGTCTTCCAGGCCAGGAGCATACTCGCTCGTAGGGTTGAGCTTCACCAGCTCAGCTGCAGGCTTGGTAGCATCATCGTATTCCTTGGACAGGTGTGGCCTTGTGGTGACATGGTAGTCAGGGTCCCGAATGCGCTTCAGAGTGCATGCCTGGGAGACATTGAGAGTCGTGATGTATGCATCACGCAGACGAAGCCTCTGCTTCAGGTAAGGATCTCCTTCCAGAAGGTCTTTGTGGCCAGCAATCTGCACAAGTAGAAAAGGCAAAAGCACCACCGTTGAGGAAAAGATGCATAAACAAATACTTGAGTATACGAATTTAAGTTGTTAGTTCGTACCTGGAGGAGGAAGTCCTTAGTTTCAAGATACTTAGCTCTCAACTGATCACCAAATGGACGCAATTCAGGAGACACAAGGAGCCTGTCATACAAAGCAGCAATCTCTGGGTCACCCTTGGCAAAAACCATTTCGACCAAGTCAATTGTGACTCGGAAGAACGGCCACTGATTGTACATCGCCTGGAGCATGTGGAGGTTCTTGATATCCTTGGTAATAACCTGCTTGAAAGCATCGCCAAAGCCAAGCCACACAGGCAAGTGAAACCTCGTCTGAGTCCAGGCAAAAATCCATGGGATTGCACGAAGTGATTCGATTCCTCCACTTGGCTTCCTCTTTGATGGCCGACTTCCAATGTTCATACGACCGTACTCCAACTCTGGTGTTGCCTGCCAGAATTTCAATTCCATGGATTAGGAATAAGGTTGACATAGAATAGAGCATCAAAAGCTTGCGATTTGAGTATTTTTAAGCTAGATCAATGTTCAGAAGAAGCCTTACAAGGCGGAAATATTCAACAAAACGAGGCTCCTGGAAGACAACGGAGCGATACTCCTTAGTGGCAGTAACAGCCATTTCGTCCATTAGAGCACGCCATTCCGGTTTCGGCGACACAGGTGGGTGCATCCCATGCTCCAGTGTGGCAGCTATAAAACGTTGGAGTGTCCTGAAACACAAGTGTTCCTCCCCAAAGGACTGCTCAATGACCTCACCCTGAACAGTGACACGGAGCGACCCATGAATGGTGTCCGGTGGTTGAGACAATATGGCAAGATGGGTTGGACCTCCTCCTCTTCCAACTGTCCCACCTCGGCCGTGGAACATAGTAAGCTTCACACCATATTGCTTTGATACCTTCACAAGCTCTTCTTGAGCCTTGTACATTTGCCAAGCAGCAGAGAGACGCCCGGCATCCTTCCCCGAGTCTGAGTACCCAATCATGACTTCTTGCTTCCCATTGATCCGATCCTTGTACCAGTCAATAGAGAAGAGACGAGCCACAGCAGCAGGTGCAGCTTCGAGATCAGCAAGCTTTTCAAACAGAGGAACAACCCTCAATGGTTGCTTCACATGGCACTCTCGTTGCAAGAG